CCCCGCCATCTTGCGAGCTGAGAGGCAGAAGCCACCCTCTGTGCATCACCACCACCACTACACACCCCCAGCCCCGCTGCAGGCCATCCCTGTACCTGGTTCCCCAGTGGGTTATTCCCTGTGGCCCCCTGTGGTCTCAGCCACCGCCCTCCCACCTACAGCCGGCTTCCTGCCCACCGTGCACCACGTGGCCCCCCCAGCGGCCGCTCTTAGCGTGTAAGTCCTGGCTGGGCTTAAGGCCAGCTTCCTGGGTCTGGGGGGTGGGCGGACACCAGGGCCGGGGTCTCCCCCACCTCACACCTGCTGAGAAGCCAGTGGACCCCTTGTCTTTGTCAGGCCTGCGGCTGCAGCAGGGACTTTGAAAAGGAACCTGGAAGGGCCATGGCAGCCTCAGCCTCACCGCCACAGCCGAGTGTGGACCCCATGCCAACTTTCTGGGGAAGCTGCCTGTGGCTTGGGTCCTTTGTCCTGCCCAGCAGGGGTGGCCTTGAGAATGTCCAGTTCTCAAAACACAGCTGTGAGGGCCCCCTCCAGAGCCCTGGCAGGTGACACACCTGCAGCATGGCGTCTGCAAGCCAGGCCAGGGCAGGAACTACACCAGACATCTTGCTTTTCCTTTAGGTTGGCATCCGACGGCATCCCAACCACACAGGCTCCAGGCCTGTGACCCCCACGATCAGCTCTGACAAGCAGCAGGGTCCTTGTTCTCCCACCGGGCGCAGTCGGGGTCCCTGGATGCTGGACTCTGAGGATCATGAGGAAATGCAGGGCTTTCATCAGGAAAGACGGCTCAGGAGCCATAGGAGAAAGATCGATGGATTTAGTCACATAAAATCTTAAACTTTCCAATGGGAAAAATACCATAAACACGGTCAAATAGATTGATAACTGGGAAATGTGTCTGCCATAGTGTGGCAGAGGGAGAGGCTCCCGTTAAAGTGGAGGAAGCTGACGGGCATGAACTGACGTGACTTCTGTTGATGTCTGCGGATAGATCTGAACATGGGTCTGCACAGCTTATTTCCTAGAAATAAATACGAGAAGCTAAACACGGTTCTTGTGCAGATGGGCTGCGGGAGGGGCTTCCTCTGTCCCAGTTGCTCTCTCTGGTGGTCGGGTCTCTGACATGAATACGTAAACATTACTCTTTCTGTAATTTTTGTTACTTTTTTTTCTGTGGAATTATGGTTTTAATGCTGTTTTAATATTATTTTCACGAAAATGTCATTTTTAAGTATTATGCATGTTTTCACTGGCCCTTTTTGGGATAAATGATCTCTTCCCTAAGTTCTGCACAAGCAGGAATCCTGTCCCCTTGTTGCATCGTTAGGCCCTCACAGGTTCTCCAGAGTGCTGGTCAGAGGAAGCAAGGTGGCGTCAGAGTTGCCATCTGGCCGCACGCAAGCTCCCTCTGGGCTGACCCGGCTCTCCGGCAAGGTTGGGAGCCGTGAGAGTGACGTGTGCCCACAAGGGCGGGCTGGCCTGAGCACAGCGCATGGGACATCAAGTCTCTTGTTAAATGTACCAATTAAAGGTCTGACCTGATTTCCTACTTTCACGTTGACTTTATCTAACATGGCTTTTCTCTTTGCTTTCATTTATCAACATAATTATTAATTCGACGGAGGGAGGAAATTTGACAGAAGTCAATTGTCTTTGGATGGTCTGGTAAGTTGGAAAACTCTGTTTTGTTCATCTCCTGAGTAGGGGAACCCGTTTCTTCCTCCTGTGTTTCTCTTGCCCGTGAGTCTCTTTTACTCTCATACAGAACCCTTCACTTCTGGTTGCCAAATGTCTGGGTTTTTCTCCCCACAGCAAGCAATTCTCTGTGACATCAGATGGGGGTCTGAAAACTTAACTTTATTCTGACACCATCTACCTGGAGAAGGTATCAGATCCTACATGGCAAGGGCTCAGTCCCACAAGACTGTCCCCCACCATGTCAGACGGAAATTGCAAGTCCAGGTTGTCACCTGTGCTTCTGGCCAACCAGATGTAAGTCACTCCCATCACCCCTTCTTGGGTTTGATTAATTTGCTAGAACAGCTCACAGAACTCAGGGAAACACTGGTTTACGTTGACCAGTTTGTTAAAGGAAATGATAAAGATACAGATGAGCATCCAGACGAAGAAATACACAGGGCGAGGTCTGGGAGTGTCATGATGTGGGAGCTTCTGTCGGTGCTCACCAGTCTGGAAGCTCCCTGAACCCCGAACTACTGGTATTTTATGGAGGCTGCCTCACGTGGGCGTGATCAATCCTTACTTCCATTTCCAGCCCCTCTCCCCTCTCTGGAGGATGGGGGGTGGGGCTGAAAGTTCCAGGATTCTGATATGACCTGGTCTTTCTGGTGACCAGCCCCCACCCAGGAACCCACCCAGGGTCACCTCATTAGGACAAAAGACACTCCTATCACCCATGAAAGCACAAGGGTTTCAGGAGCTCTGTACTGGGAACTGTAGGAAGAGACTGTGATAGATGTATTTTCTACTCTCTCACGCCTGGCCCAGAGTTTCAGGGATGGGGCTGATGCCAGAGGAACCAAACACGGAATGAGAGGGTTGGAACTTTCAGCCCCACCCCAACCTCAGGGAGGGAGAGCAGCTGGAAACTGAGTTAATCCCGAGGGCCAAGGATTGAATCAATCCTGCCTATGAGGTGGACCCGCCATGAAAACCCCTAGAAGATGGGGTTGGTGAATGTGTCTGTGAGGGCGATGCACCCCAACTCCACAGGGATGGAAGCTCCTGTGCTCGGACCCTCCCAGACCTTGTTACCACACAAAATTGGGGTTCTCTTGCCTGATGTACATAAATAAGCCAATTAATTATGGCATCAGCCTTTGGGAAGAGAGCTCAGCTTTCTTCTGTGAGATGGATCTGCAGGGAGACAGAGCTGTGTGCCCGCAGATCTGTCTCCCTGAATCAGGATTTGGGGAAAATTTAAGGTTAGGGAAAACACGCTGGCATGAAGAAACCCTGGTGGGACACGTTTTGATTGGTGGTCTTCAAGCATTTATGGTAAGGTTCTAAACATTTATGACGTTCTAAATTTTTAAGATGGGGTTCTAAACATTTATGATGAGGTGGGGAAGGAATTTTAACACCAGATCTTCCTCTATGAGGGACCCCTCACTTCTGATGAGTCAGACTTTCAAGTTCTGATCGTGTCCCGGTCCTTGGGTTCCGTGGGGAGGAGGATCTTTGGTTCAGACGTCATTTCAGGTCAAGATTTCTTCTTCTGTGCATGCTCTGACTATGTGACTGCACATTTTATGAAAGGCAATTCATAGTCACTCTGTTGATAAGAGAGGGGTCAGTTGAACTGGTCCTGGAGGCCCCAAGATTACGACGACACCCTATATGCCTCTTCACCTGGCTGTTCATATGTAGCCTTTATAATAAACCAGTGTTTCCCACAGTTCTGTGAGCCATTCTAGGAAATTACTGAACCACAGGGAGGGGTCATGGAAACCCTGATTTGTAGTGAAGCCAGACAGAAGTGTGGGTACCCTGGTTTGAAGTGGGGGGCAGTCTTGTGGGACTGAACCCTTAACTTGTGGGGTCTGCACTAACTCCTGTTTTGAGCTGAGAAAGTTTTCCCCTGTGGTGATGGGGTGCTGGCAGGGCACCTATGGAGACATCATGCCCACCTGTGCTGAGATGATGACAGTCATTGAAAGACATCCAAGACCCACGAAGCAAGAGATGCTGTACCAGTGTGGCCTGGAGCCTTAACATCCTCAGCTGGTCTACAAATTTAATGTAACTCTCACCAAGATTCCAGGTATTCACAGCTCAGGAGCTGAATCCTGAATATACGCAGGAGAGTAATGGGCCAAGGAGTCCAAGCGACTCCTAGAGCGGCAGGCGGGATCTTCCCTGGCAGACATTGGCTTTGAAGGAAGCTCCGGAGCCAGGGCAGTGGGAGCCAGGTCAGGGGTGGGCAGAAATGACCAATGGAATGAAATAGCCAGGATGGAGCTCCACGGCCAGGTGGCAGATGACACTGTCGTTGACTGGACAGTGGGTGGCCTTTTCTCAGATTCAGAAGGTCTGAGGGACACTTGCTCACAGTCTATTGTTTTCAGTGATATATGAAAACACCTCTGAATCAGTAAGAAAAAAGAAAAACTAGTAGAAAAATGGGCCTAAGATATGAGCAGTCAGCTCACAGTGGAAGGGATGCCAATGAAGAGGGTCACTGGTGACAGGACAGACGCAGGATGGCTGCAGTGCACGCATGGACACCCATCCAAGTGGAGGGGTCAGGGTGTGCGGGAGTTGGGGTCTGGACCCCAGGGTCACTGAGTTAGGCTGCAGGGGAACAAGTGATCTGCCCCTTCAGAACCATTGGGCATCACCCAGTAAAGCTGGACCTCCCACCCCTGGCCCCCTGCAGTTCCGCTGTGAGGCCACTGCCCAGGACCCTGCTTGTGCCGGATGTGACCAGAGGTTCACCAGGGTCAGCTCTGATGGTAGATGGAGGAGCCTCCGAAATACCCACTGAAGTGACCAGCAGGTCCCAAGACCCCTTCAGTCTCTTAAAAAGGACTGGGGTTACTTTTGGTCTTTGCTGTGTTAGACTTTAAACTGAGAACAAGCTTATTTGACCAGAAGCAGACCATGCATGGCCAACAGTGACTCAGGAATACAAATGGCCCAACTCTGTGTCCCCAAGAGCTTGGGGAAGTCCTGGCTGAGACAGGACACAAATTCAGCGGGAAACGTGTTTTTATGTTTCTAAAATCGATTCGTGGGAGAAACAAGTTCTCAGAATTGTAGTATCCCTCAGTTTTCAGGCCAAAAAAGGGCCTCTGAGAGGCTATGTTTTTTTGCCACGACCTCCTCAGAGCTCCTTGGAGGATTTGTGGCTCTATGGTCAGTGCGCGTATCTGTGAGGCCCAGGTGATGGAGGCTCTGAGTTGGCTCAGCGTCTCTCCATGATCTGCTACCACTGGTGATGCCCTGTGCTCTGAGCAGCTCTACACGAAGCTCTGTGATGACTCCTGGGTTGACTTTAATACTCAGAAAATAACACAGGAAATACTGTCAGGAGGGGCACCTTCCTCTGGGAGGACGAGATGCTGCAGTCAGGGCCCAGGCACCTCCTTGGAGCCAGAAGACACTTACTGTAGTTCAGTGGGAGGTGAGGGGGAACTGGGGCCCCAGAGCTCCAGCCATGCCAGTGCTACACAGAGGACTCAGGTACCATCTATAGCCAAATGCTCTGACTAGGGGCCACACCCACCTTGGGAGACGCAACAGATGGGAGATGTGCATTGTGGGGTCATCCTGGGCCTTGCAGCCACCCCAAGGGTCAGCCTTGTCCCTCCCCTCATAGAGGCGCCAAGTGAAGGCTCCAGGTTACAGCACTCCCGAGGGTAGGGTGGGGACTGAATCCACCAGGACTCCAGTGGGGAGGGTGAGGAGCATGCCCACCCTAGGCTGCTTGTTTACTACTGAGTGGGCTGAGGAAGTGGGAGAGGGAACTGCCTCTGTACAAAGGCAGAACCCCAAGGAGGAGGGGGTTTCATGTGTTCCATTTGTCCATTCTAAGAGTTAGGAACTATTTTATTTACAATACTGAAAACAAGTCTGCTGTATTCTATGTAAGGAGTAGAAATTTCTCTTGTACTTTTACAGTCAGGTTCCACTCATGAAATTAAGCCCCAGCATGGGCTGGCACTTCTGCAGCCCCACAAGACAGCCATGTCCAGCAGGGCCCTCAGTTTGGGGGAGTCCCTGATTCTCAGAGTTCAAAGGGAGGGGTCCATCTTCCACCAACCCTGCGTCCCTGTGTTCTGGAGTATCCTGCGGGCACCATGGCCATCAGAAGAGGCCCCTGCTCAGGGGCTGGAGCCTGGTCCCTGTGCGCCGGCTCAGCTCCTCGAGAACCTGCTTCTCCTTCTGGTACATCTGAAAGAAAGGAAAGGAGAACAACTGTGGACTCGCCCAGCTGGCCTGGCCTCCTCAGGTCCTGGGAAGTCCATTGCTCATCCCAGGGGTCCCCTTTTCTGCAAGCCCCTCCCCATGGCCCATGTCCATGGCTGTGGCATGAGGGAGCCTCGGCCTCTCACACAGGCTGAAGGGCAGTTTGGGGTTCTGCTCTCCGTTGCCAGCACTGGCACAAAGGGAGTGCTAACACACTGCCTGCGGGGGGGGGGGGGGGGGGGGGGGGGGGGGAAACGGTGGAGCAGCAGGAGGGCTGGGGCCCAGGGCTGAGGTGGTGGTCTCAGGTAGGAAAGAGGAGAGCCTGCCTGGGGTCGCAGAATGTGGCAGATGGGGTGGCTAGGGAGGATGGGACATGGGCCAGCCAGGCCCAGGATGTACAGGAGGCGGGTGCGTGAGGACAGACCCTCCTGGGGGAATGGGCGGGTGGGTGGGGAAACCCCAGGAGGGCTGGGTCCCTGGAAGACTGGCCCCACTGGAGGTGCCATCATTGAAGGATTTCCTGGTCTGTGGGTGTGGGGAGGAGGGGAGCGAGGGGCCACAGCAGGGTCAGTATCCGACTGGGAGCAGGGCCCAGCCAGTGTGTGGCTGGTGTGGACCCAGCCTAGGATGGGTCCCTGGGAGGCCAAAGGCATCAAGGACTTTTTTGTTAATGAGAAAAAGTCTTTTTACGCCTTTTAGAAAACCTGATTGTTTTATTACAAATATAATTTGAGTTTATTAAACACAATATAGTGCATATATACCAACACAGACCTTCATAAATGGTGTAAATGTTGACCCTTTGATGAAACAAACTGCTAAATAACTGTACCCAACAGTCTCTATTGGACGCCTGCACATCCTAAATCCTGTTCCAATTGATAAGTATTGTCACAATTTCTCTTGTAAAGATTTTCTAACTTTAAGCCATTAGAATTTTATAGAATTTATAGCATTCAGTCTCTCTGCTCAGACCTTCCTTTCAGTAGTGAATAAATAGCACAGTTAACAGCATTTGGGGAGCCCAATATTTAAAACAGATTGTCTTTTTTATAAAGCAGACATTTATAAAATTCCGTATTTTACTGTTTTTTCCAATTTTGGTTTTTATACTTGACTGTAACAGGCAGGTTGGGTGGCCCTGTTTCCTGGGTGGTCTGATGCACATGGCAGGGCACCCCCTTGCACATGCCAATGGACAGGGGTGACCTTACCTTCTGCCATTCGGCCTCCGTGCTGTGTGTGAACCCCAGCAAGTGACAGAGCCCATGTGTGGCAGTCACCTGTCAGAACAATTAAAAGCCACCTCAGGGGCTAATATGACCAAGCTGTGAGCCCAGGGAGGGGAGGAGGAGGCAGGGAGAACTCAGCTTACACCGTGGAGGCTAGAACCCTCCTCCCTGCCCGGGCAGGACTGTGGGAGCAGGTGGCAGCAGCACCGAGGGTGTGGGCAGGGGGTGAGGACACAGGGGTGCAGTCAGGGGGCAGCAGGTAGGCCAGGGCCCTGTCACGGGATGTGAAGATCAGGGTCTCCCCTGGGGTGGGGTGGGGAGGGGGCGGGGTGGCGGAGTGGGGACTGTGGAGACATCCAGAACAAGGGGGGCTAAGTGGAGGGTACCAAGGTTGTTGGCAGGAGCCCACATGCAGCTAGGAGCCAGCAGGGAGGAGAGCGGCCTGGCCACTCACATGGTCCTAAGAGTGGGGATGGTCCTCTGCTGCGGGTAAGAGAATCTTCAGGAGGTGTGGGGGAGTGGAAGCAGACGTCCACGACTGCCCCCCCAGGGCTCCCAGGGTGCACAGCTGCTGCCAGAGGTTCCAGAGCTGAAGCCTGTGCTGACCATCCTGCCCATGCTGGGGCTCCTGTCACTCTCAGGAGGAAACCACAGCCTCCTCCTTGGGCAAGTCCCACCCTCACCCCCCTCACCCGAGGAAGCAGGCAGGCCCCTAACACCTGCTCCCACTGGGTCTGGCTGGGAGGCTCTGCTGCAAGGCACACAGAAGCACTAGGATCCCCAAAAAGGTAATTCAGGGTACAGCTGTTCAGCCAAAGGAAGGCACCTCAACTGAATCCACGGGGAAGTTAAAATATGATTCAGTTACATACATAGTTTTTCAGAACACCCTCATCCCCTTTTTTCCTTTTTTTCATCAAGCTGAAGAAAGACAGATCCGGAACGTTCTGGAGGCTAGAGTCCTGCCCCCTTTGGGCAGTTTAGTAAAAAGCTTATTCAGCAGGTCTGAGTCAGCTAAACACAGCCTGTTGATCTCCAGAGAGAAAAGCTAAAACAGGGCCACTTCTGGGAGCTTCCATTTTCCCCATTACGTAGATGTTCTCTATCCTCTCCACTCACCCAACACTGCCCCCAGCCTGCAGACCCCAGGCTCCAGGCTCTCTACTCTCTCTCTGTGGGATGATGAGAGGGGTGCTGCCCTCAACAACCCTTGTCCTACACGTGGACGACAGTGTGGACGCAGGTGTCACATCTGTAACCTCTTCATGGCCTGGATGAAGGACATTGGTGTTTATTTCGCTATCAGGTTCTGTCATTTCAGCATTCCCACTTACAGTCAGGATGTCATAGTAATCTTCATTTTCTTTGCACTGCTGGAAGATATACTCTACTCCTAGGAAAATGTCTCCCAAATTATAGTCATCGGGAAAATCTGGCTGGGGAATTTCACCTGCTTTCAGATTCTGCAAGGAGGAAACACAGAAGTGGAGAACATGACCTCAGGAATGCTAAGCCCACCACAGGCCTACAGATCTCACTCTGGGAGACCCCCTCACAGTCCCCAGGTGGGCAGGGGGTGGTGTTCAGCAGAGTCCCTACACCAAGTGACTTAAGATGTTTCCACCTTGTCACATGAGTTACTTTCCATTTCTTTCATCCTTCCCAATGCAAAATCACACAGATCTACAACTTCTATGGAGTTAAACCACCACATGGATACAATTTTGTATTTCTGTTCTTTCGGCTTGGTATTTTGTCTTAAACAATCTTTCACATTTTTTTCCCACATAAAGACCATAAAAACCAGTCCATTCAGTTGAGGACTGTCCACACTAAGCTAGTCACCCATAGATGAATACTTAAGGTGTTAACATTTTTTCTTCCCGTTAGGGAAAATAAGTGAATATTTTAATATTATACACAATGTTTTATCTTCTCCCTTCTTTTATTTTCTTAGGTGTGACACTAGTGGGTTAAAGAGTACACATATGTCTAAACGATCTTCAAGTACATGGGCAAACTGCTTTCCAAAAGGCTTGCACCAATTTATGTTGCTACTAACAATGTGTGAAGCCTTGAATGAGACATTTACTTAATGGAGATACTGACCTGACAGCATATTTATTTATATTTCACATATTTGTTGAAAATATTTACCCAAGTCAGTTCTTTCATTTTCAGTGTTATTTAAATTTTTCAACCACACATATTCATTATTGAATCACGCTTACAACTGTAGAAGACTTCATTTCTCTTTTAATTCGCTAATAGCATTAAGAGGAGACAGAGGAGTCCAATTGCCTTTTCTCCTCCAGTGATGGGCATCAATCAATAGGGGTTGATCTCTATTTTTGTGTATATTTCAAAGTTTTCAAAATAAAACTTAAAAATCACGTCTGTAGTATAATCAACACAAGAAATTTACACTGGATAGTAGGCTAGATAAGGTGAAGAGGAAAACACTTTTTACCTCATGAAATGGAAAAGAAAGCACATCGGTTGGGATATTTTTCTCTCTGTAGATTCTATTAATGTGCTGAATATTCTTGTTGTCAACACAAATGATCCCCAGGTCGAATTTCTGCACTCCTAAAATATTCCTTACTATTTCTATCTTCTTGCGGAGTGGTACTCTCCGGAGGGGGATGGCTCGCTGTAGATTTCTGAGCACCAAACTCATTTCAAGAACAACTCAGCCCTTTAAAAATGCTTGTAAAGGAACCTGTGGTTAAATTTTAAGAGAAGACAAATCAGTACCAGGAAGTGATAATTCTGTAAAAACACACATGCACACACAATCAAATCACTTTATTTGGTGAAATTCATTGAAAAATTGAAGAGAATTTATATTTCATCATAAGAAAGATAGAAAAACGAGGGAACATAAAATGAAGTTAGAGAGTCAGGCATGCCAGAAGAGAGAACAACAGCCAGTAGGAAATTAAGGCCAGTGGAGGGGAAGGACCACAAGGAGGAGGGGGCTGTGGGGGGGCAGGGTGAGATGGTGGAGGGAGGATGAGGGTAGGTTAGGGGAGCAGGGCGGTACGGTGGGGGGAGCTGGGTGGACTGGGATGAGAGGATGTGAGGGGAGCAGCGTGGTATGAGGGGAGGTTGGGGAGCCAGGAACGGGATGGTGAGGGGAGCAGAGTGGTACCGGATGAGGGGAGAAGCGTGGTATGGGATGAGGCGAGGTCGGGGAGCAGGGTGGTACCGGATGAGGGGAGGTAAGGGGAGCGGGGTGGTACCGGGTGAAGGAGGTGGGGGAGCGGGGTGGTACGGGATGAAGGAGGTGGGGGAGCGGGGTGGTACGGGATGAAGGAGGGTGGGGGATTGGAGAGGGACATAAACAGACTCTTCAAAGTTAATAACATTTACAGTCTCTAGTAAGTCAGGAGGGGAAATGTGGAACAGAACAGAGGTACTCATCTGCAACGTTCAAAGATCTGGGGAAATTTTAAACCTCCGTAACAAAGTAGTGTATTTATTTGTATTCCTCTCTACCCTGTGCTCCAAAAAAATCCTCTGGCTCAGAAAATACGAATTGCGGCCTGTTGCTTTGCCTGCCTTTTAAATAATTATCCTTAGAGTGTGACGTGATTGAAAGTTCTTTTGTTAGTCCTCTAGTAGGACATGGCTGTAATGATCTGAATCTTTGTCT